CCATATATATATATATATATATATATATATATATATATATATATATATATATATATATATATATATATATATATTTTTTTTTTTTACAGCTAATGCATTGATGCTGGAAAATAATTGCGAACGTCTGCGCAAACTACTGCACACATTTATATCAGGAAGACGAGATAACGCAAGTGTGAAATATAACGTTGACGGATTTTACACGTATGAGGTCACTGAAATGGGTGATGGATATCGGTGGGATTGCGCCGTGCGAGAAAATTCGAAGAAGAATGTTCCAATTTGAACGCATTATACTACTCTGATTTCATCCTTTGAAGTACAGGACCCTCGAAAATTCGGATTCTGATAAAATATTCATGTCATATATCTAGAATGACAACCCAAGAGATCATTCCTTATGAAATTAATTTCTTCTATCTTATTCTGTTGGAACATACTGAAATCGTTTTTGTTTGATTTAAGATTCACTAATATTATTGCTTGTTAAGTCATCCTACTTCTAAAAATATTGAAAAATTCAAAAATAATCGAAAATTGAATATATTTTCCGAGATATTTTATCCCTTTTAACCAATATACGAAATTTCTTATATAAAGTATTTACCTTTTTCAATTATCTTGTCCTAAAAGTTTTGTATATGCAATGACGAAAAATCGATACACTGAAAAGTAAGAATATTTCAAGAAAGTTCCCAAAAATATTAATGTCAAGCAGAGTATTTAAGATATATGCTCAAAACAACCTTTAAATGTTAATTCCATAAGAATATAAATAGTTGAATTTGAAAATTAAAACAGAAAGAAGATTCTCAGAATATCTTATCAAAGTTAATGATAAAATCATGTTCTCAACTTGGAGACTGTCTTCGAAGACATATGTAAGACGAAATATATGCGTCAGAACGTTTATTTCAGGACATTCTCTTAGATTGTTCTGAGAAAATAAATGCATATCTTATGAAAGCGTTTTTGAGATATTTGATTCCTGATTGGGTAGACAATAGAATTTAAGCGAAATGGACACAAAACGGCGGAAGGACGAATTTACGATAACGAAAGCGTATCGCAATGGACGATCGATGGTCGATCGATCGCGAATTTAGGATCACTTTCCGTTCTTATGTTGGAGCGCAGGAAATTTATGACGAAGTCGCGTTCGCTGCCGGATCGATATTCATCGGCGTGGCCGTGGCTTCGTTGCTTAATTATATGACTGGATGGGAATGTAAGACTAAACTGGTCCCATTGGCATTTCGTACGTCAACGCCGTTTCGGTAACGTCGGACATCGCAGCGTGGAATGTCCCGACGGGGCGAGTTGCTCAACATCCTCCCGCGTAAAGCATCGTCTACAATGAGAACTTAAGCCATAAAATTTAAGCTTTAAGCCCTAAGACGTAAGAAGTTGACCAATCACAGTCAATTATAAGAAAAATAATCGATTGTGATTGACCAAATTCTTACGGCTTAGGGTTTAAAGCTTAAATCTTACGGTTTAAATTCTCATTGTAGACGACGCTTTAAAGGACGCAAAAGGCGCCACGTCATATTACTGTTGTAACGGATCGTAAGTTGATCTAACGTTCGATCGAGCTCGACTTATGCAACCGACATTACAGATTTGGCCCTGAAAGGTTATTGCTCTTCACGTTGCTGTTCTTGCAAAAGTGAAATTTCTCCCGCAAATAAGTCGAACAAAGTGTTATTGCCCATACGACTCCTATCTTGATCCAATCTCTACTCATTCCATTAACAGCAAGATTTTATCTCTAAATAATTATAAAATACACGTTGTTAAATTTTACTACGATGAAAATAAATTTTTACATATAAAATTATATATATTTAAGATTATATTTTAAATATTATTTCAAATTATATAAAATATATAATTTTATGAAAAATTACACACACATAAAATAATTTTTAATTATGTTAAATAATATTAAAAATCACAAATTAGTGTCTGTTTTAATTAATATTTAAGTAATTTTAACCCTTGCAGAATCCGGGCAATTTTTGCGTGACATTTTCAGTCTTTGAACTGAAAACTGGGACATTTTCATACATCAAATTATAGACTAGTAAAAGTAAAAAAATTAGTCAATGGACTTAAAAAATATAACACACTTACTATGTCTATTATAGTGGCTTCTCGAATTGCACGATTTTTTCAAATTGATTACTTTTGTTGTTTAATCATACAAAAACCTTCTTTTTCCATTAAGAATCCTCAAAGAATATAAATTTATTACTTATTTTTAAATTTTACTTACTTATTTTTTAATTACTTACTTACTTACTTATTTACTTACTTATTTTACTTACTTATTTTTGGATTAAGGGGATGCTGGAATCAATGACGAAGTCGAACAATGTTGATAATGCAGAGACGATCGTCACTAACATAATCACGCTACCCGTTTTGTAATAAAAAAAAATTCAAGCCTTATAGGTGCTTGAAATTAATTAAGAAATAGTTTTTTTCGGACCCAATGCGATTTACATCTATGTGCATGCAATCTACGTAAAGTGACGCTTTGTGTCTACTATGAGTGTCTAAATTGAGTGCTCACCATTGCGCGTCGTCCCACGGTGTCCAAAGTCCACCAGCCATCCTGTCGCTGCATCAGACACTGCAATGGTCCTTGCGTCCCACCTCGCCTGTAATTCACTCTCGACCACGGTAATCTAACGGAGGTTTCACGAAAAATCCCGTCTCTCTTCGGAGATACACTCCGAATTGCGAGTTGCGTATGAAATATCGCGAACTGCGTCTTCGAGGAAATGTCGGCCTTTCGGATAAACGACGAGTATGTGCGGCGAATTCAGCAACGGTCCGATCGAGTTGTAATGCATCACTTTGATACACACGCGACGCGAATCGCTTACGAAGAAAACGGAATCCGCGAGCGAAGGAAATACGCGACGCGAATCGAAGGTCGATCTCGCGAAATCTTTCGACGCGTGGGCGAAGTAATCTGTGTGAGATTCTCACGTACGACACGGAATATCCCTAATGTAACGTTTCGATGGTGCAGCGTAGTAGGCTGCAATACAACTCCGCAATATTTTTGCGGATAACAGCTCTGCAATACTTTTGCGAAGACAATTCCGCAATATTTTCTACATATATATGGTTAGGTTTTCCGTTAAATATGATAAAACAAAGCAACACACATTCATGTAAGTTCTGTATATATAAGAAATACGAAAAGAATAGCGTGATTATGTTAGTGACGATCATCTCTGCATTATCGACAATGTTCGAGTTCATCATCGACTCCATTATCCCCTTAAGTGAGTCGATGTTAACGAGAAGTGCAATAGACGCCGCGACAAGTACCGGCTATGTGTATCGAAAATTAAAGAAATTGCTTTCTAATAATGTACTCACGATACATCCCGACGATCGCACATCGCTATTTCCGCACTCCCGATACTTATTTCCGCGCCAGGCTCACATTTGATAGATAAAAAATGCGTAGAACGCGGAGCGATGTCGATCGCGATGTGTCAGTGGAGGCTGCTCGTCGCGAAAAGATCGATATCCAAGATGGCCGTGCAATCACCGACGCAGTGCCGAAAGTGCGCGCCAAAACGTGAACGATGTCGCGGTTCGACAAGGACGCACTCTAGTAGGTACGCCTCTCTCACTCTCGCTGGCGGACGACCGCGCGAGATCCGACGTCGCGTATATCTCTAGCGTCGTTTTGTCTTTCTCTTTTCCTCGGATTATCATCGCGATTCTAACTCCTCATTAATAAATCCGACGATCGTCCGATTCTACCACTACTTGAGCGAGTCGATGTTAATGACAAGTGCAATAGACGCCGCGACAAGCACCGGCTGTGTATGTCGAAAATCAAGGGGATTGCTTTCTAATAACGTACTCATGATACATTCCGACGATCACACATCGCTATTTCCGCACTTCCGATACTTATTTCCGCGCCAGGCTCACTTTTGATAGATAATACATTAAACATAAATTTGAAATTATATAAAATATAATTTTATAAATTAAAAATATTTTATGTAAGTTAAACTTATTTTATAAGTTAAAATTATCTTTCATTATAAAAAATTAATAACTAGTAGTTCACTCGTAATTTCAGAGTTATGTTCTAAAAACAAAATACAATATCTCGCAGATACATTAAATATAAATACATTAAACGAAAGCATTTTAAACGTGTTTCAGGCACGTGTAAAAGTTGTAAATTTTCCAAAAACGGGCCGGCTTTACGAAAAAAATCGACGCAGACGTGACATTACTTCACGCTGTTGCGCTCAATATCAATATCAGTCATCTTCAAACCGGCGATCGAGTTTTTACTCATTTGTCGTAACGCGATATAAATCATCGTGCCTCGATACCTCCTCCCCGACCACCTGTCTTACACCGAAATAACGACATTGTGCCGTAAGCTCGTTTCCACGAGACGCCATTCATCACGCCGCCGTCGAACCTCGCATAATTTACGCCCATGTTATGCACCGGTCGGCTGTGCGGGGGCCCGGACGACATCGGGCATTCTTCTCCCTTTTGATCGCGCGCCGTATCCTTGAGTCTCGCGCGCGAAATCATCGTCCCCGGACGTACGTCGGGATCAGGGACGAACACGGGAGTCCTTCGCGCCATTCAGCATCCGCGGCGCGCGCCCGCGCCGGCGGACCTTTGGAACACCGCGGATGGCTCCGTCCTTCTTCTTCGTGGTAAGAGATTCCCACTCTCACTTTCCTCATTCCACTCTCTCTTTCTCTCTTTCTTGCTCTGCCTCCCTCGCTCGCCATTGCGATCACTCTCCCTCTCCCTCCGAGCCTTTCCAAGCCGCCAAACTCCCTTCCACCTGCGTGTGTGCGTGGAAGAAGAAGAAGAAGAAGAAGAAGAATTACAGCATCCTCCCGCGTATGTCTCGCTTGGCGATAATCGTCATGGACCGAACGCTCCCCACCAGGCAATCGGGTGAATCCTATAAATGCCCTCCACGTTGCCCGCAGACGAAGAAATCACCTCCCGGGACGCACGAGCTCTCCCGCGCGAGGCATGTGTTCGTTTTAGAGTGTCCGTTCTATCTTTTTTTTTAGTTTTTTTTTACCTCGGTTTTCTCCTCATCAGTGATTAGCGCGGCGATCGAATCATGGTAAGTAGCAGTGCATTACGAATGACGTGAATACAAAAGTGACGTGAGGGGCGAGAATTAGGCGGAGGCATCGAAGGGCTGGTGCATCTAAACGCGCGAGAGAGGGTTGCGCAGAGTGAAACAGTGAGACAAAAGTACAGTGAACAAGCTGGTGAAAAATCGCAAACTGACAACCGAGCGATCGTACTGGTCGTCGTGCCCCCGCGCGTGTTCCAAAAGGTCCTACATCCAAAAAGAATTTAAGCCTTGTCTTTAGCGAAATCCACTTGCACATGGTCTCAAGCAAATTCTTCGCGAAAACTAAAAACAATTATATTCTAAGCAAGATGTTTAAACATGCTAAAGATGGCTTTGAATTTCCTGTTCGATTCTTAAATCTATAGGGAACAGTAGAAATAATCGATTTTGCCAATTTATCCGGTAGCCAACTAGCATCGGTTTCCTCTAATATTCTTATAGTTGAAGGAACTCCATCTCTTCTACGAGCACAAATCTACAGCACAAATTTCGTCCTTTAGTTTCTAATAGAAATTCCTTCTAGTAAGAGAGCTTTCTGCTTCAAATAAATATCAATGATATGAGATGAGATTGAATCAATTCCCTTGATTCAAGAGAGAAAAAATAATATTTGATATTTGGTATAATATTTGGTAGATTTCCCCGATTAATAAAATTATTTAGGCATATATACAATTATTTTAAATTAATTAAATTAATATTTAAAATAATTAAATTAACTTAAAATATTTTAATATTTATTAATATTAATTAATATTAATTATTAATATTTTAAATTAATTAAATTAATTATAGATTGGAATAATATCTAGTAGATTTCCATTTCATTAGGAGAGAAATATTCTTTCAAAGTAAGATTTTTTTACTTAGGATATGAGATTACAGAAAGCAGCACTCCGCAACTTCCCTTTGAGGATGTTAGAATATTCTCCTTTTGGTTTTAAACAAATCTTCTTGAGGCCATATGTAACAGGATTTTGCTGAGAATAAAATTATAATTTCTTGGAATTTATAGGAAGTGTTGGACATTAAGTCGATGAAAACGTTCCTTGACTAAAATGATCGGCCAGTTAGTAATCAAAATTAATCAATCATATATGTAATCACAAATAATTTAATCGGTTGATGAAATTAATTATTAATTAGTATATAATCAATCACACCACACGAACTTTGATTAATAACCAATTGCATCAATCGATAAAATCGTTTGTGGCTTTATATATGACAATTCATTAATTCTGATTACTGATTTGCCGGTTATTTTAGTCGAAGAAAATTTTCATTGATTAATGCCCGACACTTAATGTCCTTAAGACTCCTGCGTTCTCACCGCAGCCATCTTAATTAAAGACGTCAAAAGAGCGAGAAAACTCTTGAGAATAGGATACGACGGTTATTAAAAGGTTATGTCCATAAAACGACACTTGTGATCGAATAAGCGCATTTGTAAAGTATTCCGAAAACTTTCCTTTTACTGTAGCAGTCGATAAATAGCCGATAAACTTCACGTGACAAAATCATAAGGAAAATTAGGCTAAAGAGAAGTTGCGTGTGACGTTAATTTTACGGTTATTTATCGATTATGTTAAAAGGAAAGTTCTCGAAATATCTTACAAAAGTGCTCAATCGATCCCACGGATCACTTAATGGACACATCCTTTTATTTCAGCATATTTCGCAAGAATTTTGGGCATGCGTTTCCTCGCTTCTGACGTCATCAAGCGAGAGTTCCGCAGCGGGGGACCGGAGCCTATTGATTCTGTAACTTCTAACGGTAGTCGGTCGTTATCATCACGTTGTCGCAGCTTTTCTACCGTTATGTCTTTTCTGCGTTATATTTGTAGAACGACAACACAACAATAACGACACTGTTCAAAGTTGCAGAATCAGAAGACAGGAGTCTTAAAGGCCATCTACAATGGGATTGGCAGTAGTCAATGAGACGTAAGCAGTAAGCAAATTGACCAATCACAGTTGATTATTCTTGTAATAATCGGCTGTAATTGGTCAATTTGCTTACTGTTCATGTCTTACTGCATATTGCCAATTACATTGCAGATGGACCTTTAAAGAGCCTTGCACCCCCATGAGAAACACACCGCGCTAACGTCGCGTCTCGCGGAAAGTAAAAAGCAACAGTGATGGTCCTGTTTCCACGTTTGGAAAGGTGCTGACGACACTCGGGGAACTTATATAATGACAGCAAAGTGATGCCCCTTTCCCTCAAGGAAAGTTCAATCTAACGTCCTCTATACTTGCGATTTTCGGAGATACACACACATCCCATTTATCAAATTTAAATCCCTTTAAGAAATATAAATAAAGTTTTATTTGTTTGATCGAAACTTGCGCCGAGATTCAGCTTCAGATTCTATTCATTTCTTTCTTTTTTCTCTCGACAAAAGAAGAAAGTATATTTTTTTTTAGTTTCACGAAGATTACCGCACGTTCTCTTGCTGTCATTATATACGACTTTTTTTTTATTTTTACATAACGTTCTGTACCTTAAGGTCGCGATTCCGATGCGCCGCGACAGCGAGAAGAATCCGCGGTAGAAAGTAACGGACGCGCGGCGGCGATGCAGCGGCGATGCACACACATCGGCGATAATTTATTCCGCATACACTCTCGCGAGAACGACGAGCCTACGGTCGGCCTCGCGCCTACGATTTTCGAATGTCGCGCTCGTGTGCGCTTTCCTTTCTGCAAATCGGTTTTTTCGCCCACCGTCTACTATCCACAAATAAACTCGCAAGTGCACGCTCCTCTCGCGGAAATCAACAGACGCCCGCACACTGTGCTGCAATCGCAAATGTTACGAGTTATCGTCATCGCTCCTCAAATCCGCCTCATCGTTCGCGTATTTCCCGAAACTCTCTTAAAAGAAAACATCTACCTGTCCTCGAAGAGTCCCGTTTGAAAACGACTTAGTTATCGCGACGGGAAGCTATTGTTCACGGATAAATTTTGTTCTATTTCCATTTCTTTACGTTTTTAAAATTCTATTTAAGTTCTCTCTAATCTAATCAAATTCAAATTAAGTCAAATTAGAAGTCAATCGGACGATTGAATTTAGAAATATCGTGTACACGATCAGTGCACGTTTCAGCAAAGGAACTTCGCACGAGACATCTTTATAACTCAACTTTATTTTTTGGTATCTTTCAAAACCATTTTTACAAAATTGTTATCAAGCTATATAAACTATATAAACATTGTAAATAAAAAAAGTGCTTATAATTGATAGCAGCATTTCAAAAATTGGTGAATTCTGACATTTTCTCCAGCGCTTCATGATGACGTGACCTCTTAATAGTAGCGATCTATTAGTGACGCAATTTGCAAATACAGACAGTGTCACTGCAGGTAAATCGTATGAAAGCCATTAATTCCATCGCCACAGATGCAGAAAGTTAGACTTGGTTAAACTTGCAAAAAAAACAGACAATTTTTCCGACAAATGTACATAGGAATATTGATTCAAAATTGTTTCATACTTTTTAGGATTTTTGAAGTTTGACTTTGGAAGATATTTATTCTCATTTCTTTACGATTGAATATCTTAAGAGCTCCAATACTATTTGTTTTCGCAACTCTCAGTGACAGTATTGTTGTTGTAAAACGTCTATTCGTCGCGTAGCCACTGTGATATGTAATTTTATTATCATTAGAAGGTCCCAGAATCTGGCTGGTAGAGTTATATTGTACGAACGAATATTTAAGAACTTACTGAACGCGTGTATCTTTCTCTGTCTTTCTCCCTCCCTCTCTCTCGCTCTCTCTTTTTCTTTATACGACTGTCTCAGTGAATAAGAGTTCTGCAGAATAGCCTTTCCTTAACTGAGAAGTCCAACTTGTTCACATTTAAATACTCCCCTTCAAAAATCCCCGCGCATACTGTCGTCCACTCTGTCCGCAACGCGATCGCCGAGGAGACATTCTGCAAAAGCGCAAAACGCATCGATCTTCACCCGCGGAATATGCACATATTTCGCAAGTGCCGGCTCGTTCGTAAATTAACTCTAATGCAAGCTGACGACGTCGAGGTCGTGATCGCGGGTGGAAGAAAAAAATCGCGTTCGCTCATTAGCGGTTTTATGTAAGCCCTCCCGTTCATCGCGACGTACTCCACCGGGCTTGGGTGAAACACCTATTCTTGCTAAATGCGTGAATTAAAACGAGAACGCTCGGCCGATCACGTAACGAAGAAGTCCTCGCCCGGCAAAGGTCAGCCCCGCTCGGCTCTAACGCAAAAATTGCACGCCATCGAACACTGCTCGATTCGCGATTGCCATCAGGAGTCTCGAGGATCTTTCGTGGCGTAACACACAATAGCAACTTCTGCTGAAGCGGCTTACAAGACCTATTCCTGTTAATTCAACTAATACTGTGCTGGAACTTCGTTCCTTTTCCCTTCAATGCTATGTTACATATTTACTTCACTCTAAAGGCAAAAAGTGCAATCAAGCTCGGCTAACAAGATCAGACCTACACGGAGAAAAAGGTTTGGTTGAATTCATCATTCATGAACAAAAACCAAACGCATTTTAGTTGAAGGAAACACCCCAAAGAAGAATATAATCTCGTATTTATCGGAGTTCTCTTATATATTATCTCAAGAGAATTCTTCTTAAATTAAGAGGAAAATGTTTGAAGCACAATATTATCCCCTTTTACTAAAAAAAACTCTAGATAAAAATTTTTGCTTAAAATATAGAATTACAGAAAATATCACTTTGCAAATAAATTTCTTTGGAAAAGGAAGAAAGGATGTTAAAATATTTTTCTTTTAGTTAGAAGAATTCTCTTGAGGCCATATATATCGAGAGAGAAAAATACATAAAAAATTTTAAAAATTTATTCCATGGATACTAATAAGATATTCACTTAAATCTAAATCCTTTTATTTAAATATATCAAACAATTACTTTCACAAAAAGCTTTTTAAAATTTTAAAGGAATGACATTTTTTTATTTCA